ACACTTATCTGCTCGGATCGGCTCCGGAGGAGGTAGGAGGTACGTGTACAGTGTGCACAGACCTTAACTTATCGTCCGTAAGCCCGATAAGCCCGTCGAAGTGGACAGAGACGACCACCAAAACAATAGCGAATATGCATTCCGTGCGCGACCGCTCCGTGCCAGCCACACAACCTTTCGAGCTCATCCCAAATGGCTCAGCACAGTTTTTTGATCGACCTATAGACCTTTCGCTGGCAGATCTGATAGGGTATCAGTCAGAAGGGAGCCAGAAGAACGGAACGGAACCCTAACGGAATTGGCTCTCCTACAGTGGGAGATAAGTTAACTAATCGCGGCTATTATTGTTGAAAATTGACATATCGCGAATTAGATCGCTTTATAATGACACTCCTGCCAGTATGTATGTGTGTGTGTGGAGTATGGAAGTGGATCCCACGTGAATAGCCTCTAAAAATACCCGCAATAACGTAGCTCGTAACTCCCTGAGATTGGCCATATTGTCTACGACTCGATTATCTTTGCCGCAAAAACCCTAGCAGATAATTTAAACTAAAATTAGCTGCTTACCTGATCGCCGCTCGTGACTCACTGGGACGGGATCTGCCCGGCAACATGTTCTACAATTCTACAAGCTCTACAATTACCGCACCTGTCATCAGATTCGTACGAGTACACACGGCTGCCGGTGATGTCTGCAGGGGTAAGTAAGTATTGGCATCGTGGATTTGTACGCACCAGGAAGAGGAGAGCGGATCCAGCCACTCCCAGTCCAGCTGTAGAGGGTATCATTTTGTCGAAATATATGTAGGTACATACACTGCATACGCTCCTACTTGTTGTCGCTTTTGATTTGCGGTTGACTCGACTGGCCAGGAAAACACACACAAAAAGCATAAATCAAAAATCCAGACAATGTTCGGGCATGATTGAAAGGTAAATACTGCATAAATGGAAGCGGGAAGGGAAGGGATCGCAGAGCAGCCCCAGACAAAAGGACTTCTCTGCAGCCCTAGTGCCAGCCCTAGCCACCTGCTGGGACCACCTGTTTAGATATAGCACGGACAAAAGAGCCAGGACCGAGACAATGAGCATAGCGATGTGGAAAATAATCAGTGATAAAATAAAAGCATGAAAGGCATCGCCATCAAAAGGGGTTGCATTTGAGGGTGGACATGACGAGGAGGCGGAGTGGGAGTGGGAGTGGGAGGTGGAGGCTGAGGCAGCATGAAAAGAAAATGTTTGCATTATGCCCCGGATTCATGATAATAGGCCTCATTTATCGCTACAAGGGGGACGGCTTCTGCTTGGCGAGATCTGTCCTGCAAAGGTGGATCGGGAACTGGGGCCAATAAGCCCATGAAAATCACTCCCTTCTTGTCAGGGGGTGGCCCCCCTCACACATATCAGCAGACGAAGCAAGACACTTTTTAGAACACAGTTTCTGTTTCTGTTTCATGTTTTCTCTGGCCTTATCAACTGGTACATTCGGTGGGACTTGTACGTGTACCTTGTAAACGGTGAAGCAAATGCAAACAAAGTGTTGCCGTCTCAATGGGCAATTCTTGTAGCAGGCCGATAACCACTGGAAGAGCACCTCAGCGAAGATACACACGCACATCAGAGTAGAATGCACACGTTGCGTATTTACAGATACTGTGATACCGTGATACTGAGATACTGGGAAACTTAGATACTTAGATACTCAGATACAAACCCAACGGAACCTAATCAACGTTCAAGGTATCGACTGAAATGCTCTTCAAATATTTACACACCCGCAGCAAAGAGCTTCCCCCGGAGCTACTGCCACCGCCACCGCCATCGCCATCGCCACCGCCACCGCTACCGCTACACCAGCTTCAGCTCCAGGTCCCGCTCCGGGTCGATAAGCGGGAGCGGACATGGCCCGCTAATTGCGGAATGATAAAAACAAAAAGCTGCTAACCGTAGCCGTAACCGTAACCGTAACCGTAACGGCAACCACCCCGCCCCACCAGACCATGCAGGAGAGCCGCAGGGCCAGACAGACACGCAAATGTTCTATCAACTTCGTTGGCGTTGGCGTGGCCATTGCCGCTGCCATTTCAAAGATTTCAGCCTCCGAAAAGAGAATTAAATAAAATAAGTATCCCTGTACGTTTTGTTATTGCCAGCATTTTCGACTCGTATTTGCCTAAACCGGCCCCAGAGGAATACCAGTACCCGTACCAGTACCATTCCACGTACCCGTACCCGTACTCGTATCCGTACCAAAGCCTCTTCACGTTGCTAGACAACCCAGGAGCAGGGAGGATAGGATGGTTCTGCGGGTTGTTGGCAGCTTTGAGCATATTACATAAAATAAGAAAAATTATGATTTTCACTTCTAGAAGAGCGGGGGCGAAGGCGAGGGGGGACAACACGGGGAAGACTTGGGGGACGGCACTCGTTGGAGAAGTGGGGCCGAGCGAGGCTGTTGCTTAACTGTCAAAACCGTGTAATTTAATAAAGTTCGCTGCGGGATATTGTTTTTTATGGAAGCCAGCGCAGTGTAGAGACAGCTTTTGCCAGCTGCCAAATGGGGAGTGGCTGCCTGCCATGTGGTGGCGCTCTGGCTGGGGCATGGCCACGGCAGTCTGTGGCTCCTCGAAGTGTGCTGCACAAATACAGAAATTTGGAGTTACATATAGCAGTGCAACATCGCGATGTTGTCTTTTGTGCCTGCCACAGGCACTCCACCTCCACGCCCCCACAGCGCACAGCGCACAGCGCACATAAGTACATCCATATATATATGTACGAATACTGGTATGTGTATGTATGTATGTATTTGCACATACTCGTACATACACCCTATGGGGTGTACGTATTTGGGGGGTGGTGCAATGTTTGTGTATCGTATCCCCCTTGTTTACTCCGAAAAAAGCAAAGCAGCGAAAGCGAAAAAGTTTTTACGTTGAAAAGTACGAGTATCGCAACATTTTCGGTCTGTGGCTACTAGATGGCAATGCCGCAGGGCCGAAGTGCCGAAGTGGAGGCCAGACCCAGGTCTGAGACCTTCTCAAGTGACAAAAATTAAACAAACTTGACTGAAAAGGAACTGGGAGCTCTCTCCCCCATTACGCCCCCGCACTTATCTAGTCACTTTTCGGATGGAGTGGCAGTGGGAGTATAGTATAGGAACCTAAAATTTTTTTGCTCAGGGCGAACTCAACTTGGGAGATTATTCGGTGCAAAAGTTTCAGTCTAGGTAATTTCCGTGGAGTTTCCGGTATTGCACTGAAGCCTCGCAGCTTTGGACAGTTTGGGCATGAAATGATTTTGATCTATTTCTACCGAATTTTTGGCTTCCCAATTCTACGCTAATCCGACTCTAAAAATTCCGTCAGCATATAGTTTCAGTTAACAATTCGAATGGGCCAGTGATCAGTGGTCCAATCAATCGCATCAATATCGAATTCGATTCCCAAAGTCTCGTTGTAATAAAGCATGCATTTATTTTCGATTGGCGAATCAAAATGGTCCAAATAGTTTACATACTGGAAGTAAAAATATCCTTCTTAATAAGCTACTCCTAACGGTTATATTTATATAATAATTTATTATTAGCTTGATGTCATTTTAATTTTAATTAAGTGTTCATCTGCTTGTGTGATATGGTTTTAGAGATCTCTAGATGTGTTCTCTAGCTTTTATCCATTCTGCCAATGCAATGAACACCTGCAGACTTTCTTTCCTCAAAGATACTCAATATACTACTACAATGCAATTATTAATATGAAATTATAGATTAGCATCCGTTTAAGTCGAGTGTAGCTTTTATCGCTTAGAAACACAGCAAAATCGCTATTTCCAGAACTGCAGGCTACACAGGCTGCACCGATGCAGCGGGGACTACAATGTTTTTGATCCGTATTTTGTTTTCCCAAACCAAATTCCAATTTTATTTTATTTAGCATAGAAAAAAATATGTACATAAAAGTAAACAGTGACTGCCAAAACACACACACATGTAAGTATGTATGTTGTGCACATCCCTATTGGGTAAAAAAAAACAAGAAAAGCGAAAAAGAAAACTCTCCCCCCATTCCCACGCCCACACGTTTCCAGCGTCATATGAACGCCCCATTATTTACTTAACATAACTTGAACATTCGCCCTCCCTCGCTCCCTCCCTCCCACCGTCCTCCCAACAAACAGCTTCCGAGCAGACGTAGCAAAAAAACACACACCGAGAAGGAACAAAAATAAAGAATTGACAAAAGTTGGGGCGGAAAAAGGAAACGAAGAAGGAGAAACAGAAAGAGAAAGAGAAAGAGAAAGAGGTGGAGGTGGAGGCGTAAGGAGCGTGGAGTATGCCAAGTTGTACCTGCCAGCCAGAAGTCGGCTAGTCAAAAAGCTGTCGTCGATGCTAAGCGCAGACCCAGATGCCATCAAATATGCAGGAGGACGCAAAGCGTAGAGGCCCTTCTCCGAATTCAGAAAAATGGCGAAAAATGATTTATGTGGACGCCGTGAAGGAAGAAAGTAAGGAGGAAAATATCAGCCAAAAGCCAACAATAACCGGGAAAAATAAGAGAATCAACTGATATGAGTTGAGAACTTGGCTCTGGGTCCGCGCCTCCATGGAAAAGAGGAACGGAGACCGGGGATAGGAAGGGCCCGGCCTCGAACTCGAATGTACCTTCCTTCACGGTAGCAGCGCAGCTTCCATGAGAAATGTCCAAAGTGTTCTCGACCGACAGCGGACTCCAATGGTATTGGGGTCATCCGAGGCATGAGATATGGATGTCCCCTGGGCAAAACCTTTTCTAGGTTGAAAGCCTAAAAGAACTAAAACAGGTACGATACGGGCGAGCTCTCTCCTAACCCCAAGCCCAAGAACCATGAATGTGTTATGGAGAGCTATGGAGTTAGTGCCCGAGAGCACAAGTAGTCGTCACATGCCCTTGCATATACTGTCTCGAATCTGAACAGTCTTCCCAGTTTATCTGATAAAATTTGAGCTCATGTTTAAAACTCGATCAAGCATATAACGGTGAGATAGCATAGCGTGCAGATTTTTGTATCCTTAGAGTATCCAGCCAAAAACCTCCCCGCACAGATGTCCGACAAAAACTTAGCTGCTTTCAACGCATTTCGACGCGACCTGGCCCGCATACAAAAGACCTTCAGCTCGTACACACAAACCGATTTCACGCAAGAGGTTGGGACAAGCACTGATTTCGAGAACGACCCCCACTAAATAGGTGACCCGAAGAATTCGGATAAACACCCAAAATGCTACTGCTCGAGCGAGAGGAACAATGATCCAAGCGAAGGGACGGACGAGACGATACCGGTCCTGGAGATTGCGGCTGAGCCAAGCCACAAGCCAAGTTCCCAGCACTCGTCGTCACGCCCCCAATCCGAAGAGGAGCGAGAGAAAACGAATCACCTCAAGTCGAAGACCCGATGTGCAGCTACTTGCTACATTCAACCGTCCAGTCGTCCCCCAGTCAGCAGCATCGGCAGTGGCCATATCCCGCTGGCCATATCTCGGAGTCCCGAGATGTCTGATGAGCTTTGGACCAGCATCCACGAATTTCCTGCAAGAGATCCATGTGCCCATCGTCCCGATAGCCACTACGTTTCTGATCGGGGCAGTACGCGAGGATCTGCGCCACCTGCTGAAACACAAGATGCGTCTGATCCGTCGCTCGATGGCTGGCGGCAATGCAGAAGTCATCTATGTAATCGCCTACCACTGCATGTAGGACGACGGTCTCGAGTCGAGTTTCAATAGACATTCCAAATTCCCAATGCTATGTCGAGTGTTTGCTTGCTGGTCGTGATCTCGCCTGTTGACATTACGACAAATTATATCAGCTGAGGGCGACAAATGCTGAACCCCTCCTAGAACAGAACCCTCCTGAAGCCCTCCCGGAACGGAGGAAGGAAGAAAGGAAGGAAACAACAAACCAGAAACGGATACGCTTAGGTTGCCTTGGGAGTGGGGTGAGTTGCTTCGCTCACGGGCGGGGGTGCTGGTATTCCCGTTAATAGGAAAGCCACACAAGAACGGCTAACGAAGGACACGCGGCCAACGGTTGAGCGACAAGTGCGACGGGGCTGGCGTCCCGAAATGGGGTGGGTCGGTTGGGTCGTTTGGGTGTTTGCTCAGCGTTAAGTGCACAGGCTCTGCCGAACGTCTCTACAGGCAAGTGGAAATGATAAACATATTTACACAATTTTTGACAGGCCCAAGAGAAAGCCGAACGGGTGAAACAGAACACCCGTGGGTGCAGCCAGTGAGAGTTCGAGTACGCACTTGAAGCGGGGAAGGAAAAGAACCAAACCCAAACTCGATAAATATGTTTATGTGCAAATAACAAAATATTTGTCGATTGCCCGAACCAGTAGGTGGATGGGGTGGGTCCCTAGATGGGGTGGGACAGGACCGGGAACAGGATGGGGTACAAAGAAGCACCGCAAGCGCATAATTCAATTTTTCTGCTCGTTTTTGCACGTCGCCCGGCGCACGTCACTCAACTCCACTGGGACTGGAACTGGGACTAGGACTGGATTGGGACCGGCTGGATACCATACCTCGATGTAGCTCAGCGCGGTTGCAGCACATACATATTAGCGACACGTGGCGGAGGCGAGGCCAGGGGATGTGGCACATGCGGTTTCGGGCACTGCACTGTTATTTATTTGTTTGTAATTACGCGTGTTGCAAAACAAAATCCCGCCGTACTTGAAGTCGGATTCGGCCTCGGGATCGGAGACGTAGACGGAGAAGGAGATGGAGATGGAACCATCAGCTGAGCCTGCTCTTTTCCAGGCCGCCTGCGACACGTGCAGCGAGCGGCTCTCCGGGTTCAGCTGGGAATACGAATACCCTGCGCATTAGGAACAATGCCAGGGACATTTGGAGTTTGTCAACAGTTTCGGCTTTTGGATTTGGTTACAGCTTTTCTCGTTGTCAACGGCGCGTGTCTCTGTCTGTCTCTGAGTCGCCCAGCAATCCACTCCAATCCGCACTCAGTTGTTCAGTCGTCAACTTTGTGGACTGGCTCTTAGCCCGGGGATTGTCAATTGATTTGGCGTGGGATTTTCGATGTTGTGGGTATGTGGGTGAAACGAAATCATAAATGCGACATGAATTGCCAACCCTTGGGTGGAGAGAAACTCTAAGTCCAAGGAGTTGTGAGAAGTCCCTTTGACCGGCAAAACTCAGCCATGATAAATCATCTCTAAAAAGTTTCTCGCAAGCGAAAGAAAAACAGCTTCCATCGTACGCGCCTACTCGTATATTACTGTCCCCTCGGACCATATTTCAAACATCTGAAGGCGAAAAGCCGAGCTGCAAGATAGGGAAGCCCAGGCAGCCGCAACGTTCAGCATCAGCATCCCTAAAAGAGCATTTGAAATGAGCTCCTAAGAGAGGGACGTGGGATGACGATGGCGGTGTCCCACCAGGAAAGCTCTCGTATTTAATTGAAAAACACTTAAGCTGCCTCGGTCTGAAAATGTAAATGTTATGCAAGGCATAAGCCGGAGCAACCGCAAGGCCCCCGCTCACATGAGCCGCTTTCAACGTGGCTCAATCAAAGTGAAGGCCCAGTCCACACCACACCACACCACACCCAAGCCCTGCTGGCTCCTGGCTGCTGCTGTGACCTTTTTGTGGTTCATAAAAACAAAGAGCAGAAAACAAAAACTTTGCATAATTAAAGCCTGCACAGTTCTTAGACAAAGCCCAAATCCTTTCGGACAGAGAGAAGATATGATGGAGACGGCATGACTGGCCAGGGCTTGACTTAACTTACCCTCGAGCGCACGATTCCTTGAAATTAAGGCAAGCACCAGTTCAGGATTTGGGTCATCATGGTCGACAGCCAGATGATTGTGCTGGCTGCCTACCAGGTGCGATGCCTGCGGCGTGGGTGGCAATTGTTGCTGCTGCTGCTGCTGTTGCAGTTGTGGCTGATGGATATGCGGCGAATGTTGCTGATGATTATCCATGGCTGTCAGGTGCTGTGGAAGCTGCTGCTGTGAGTGGTGATGATGTAGCGGCGGCGGCGGCGGTTTCAGGGTTTGCATCATTGCTAAGGCCAAATGCATGCACAGCAATCGACAGTGGTACTGGGTAGGAATTGGCACACGCGTCGTATGAGTTATATTTGACTTTTAGAAATAATCACACAATAATTTTCCTCAATCCAGCCCTTCAGAGGCTTCACTCGCGGCTCGTTCACCGTGAAACGAGGCACCTTTAGCCAACCGCCTGGAGCCAACCGGAGACGCTGTTCGGGATCGCTGTCTGTTCGATAACTGCTGCTGGCACGGGTTTCGCCAGCACACCGCCGTCCCCACGGCTCCGTCGTGGTTTCTTCTTATCGCGGCGGTTTCTTTTCGATTCGATTTGGGTTCTGTTTTTGTGTTCGGTTCGGCTGGGACGTTAGAACGTTCGTGTGCTCTTTTGACTACATACCAGTACATCGGCTCTATCAGTTGAGCAGCGCGGGGCTTGAACGGTGCCGAACAATTTAAATTTACAATTTACGCATCGCAGGATGGAGACACTAGACCAGTCCATCTATTGTTCCTGGACTTTTTACAACTTAGGAATAGCACTAAACATGTTGCTGAAATCGCAAACAGATATATTACAGATATATTCATAAAATCACACATGCGAAAGAAATACACAGCTCGTTACGATTCAGCTTTAATTTGAGTTTAATTTTGTCATATATCTCTGCATATTGTACTATAAACCAACTACACAATCTATGTACATAAGTATGTGAAGGCCTATACGGAAAGACTAAGCTTATTTTGTCCCAATACGTTTAAACTCCCTGTCTATGAGTACATACATATGTATAAGCGAGTACATATCCCCAGTCCTCCTTTCTATACACGGCCACGTCCATGGTATTCTTCCTAGCAAGGAAAAATCGTATTTCCTTGACAATCTCCTAGCGGACAATTTTTTTCGCTGGCCACAAAGTCTGAAAATCTGTGATTGATAAGAAATTTTCCATCCGACTCTAATCTATATTCGTCGGATATTCCCTGACAGGCAGTTATCTTTGTTTCCTTTGGCAATAAATTGCGACGTAAAATTAAACTTAGCTACAAAAGAAGAAGAAAGGGGTATAAAAACCTTAAAACTGAAAAATTACATTGAAGCTATCTTGATTTGAGACGGTCTGGCCAAAGCCCCTATTTGTTGCTGGGAATTCGTCTGTGCACTTTGACACTTAATTTCAGGACATAGTATTCGTTAAAATATTTACATTATATTTTTCATTGGACTCCACTGCAATGCGATGCGATGCGAGAGAAAGACAATTTTTTGCGAGAACAACGACGGCAATGCGATGACGACGACCACGACGAGCACGGCGGAAACGACGGCAAATACGAAACGACAAAATGGCGACGGCACTGTCAATGCTGGGCTAACGGTAAACTTATAACGGCACCAGCGACACGACAGAGCATGGCAACACTGGCTGAGCAGCCAGCGGTCGCCTGCTGCGTTGTTAGCGACGCTTTTTGCTGTTGCTGTTGCTCTTGCTTTTACTGTTGTTTTTTTGTTGTTTCGCTCTTCCTCTATTTGCCGCGCTGCATCTTTATTTATTTTGTTGTGTGCGTGCTTCTTTCTCTGTTGCGCCGCCCTGCTGTGCTCCCGTTTCGGACTATGAGAGTTTTCTTTTCTTTATTTAACTTCTCACGACACTGTTTGGGCCGCTTGCCTTTTGGGTGCGTGCTCCACAAATACATTTACGCTTCTATGCATTTGTGTAGCCGTGTGTGTGTGCGTGTATCAATGTGCATATGTGCATATTATGGATGTACGTCTACCAATTGATCTTAATATGACACAAATGATATGGTTAAATGAACACTTGTACTAGTACCATACGGGGCAGGGCGAGCGGTCCTGCAGAAGAACAATGACAGCGGCGACGGCGACGGCGACGACAACGGCAAAGCCAACAGCGAAGGCGATGACATTTTTATTCTTGTTTTTTGGCCATGCGCATTTCCGTCCCCCTTTCAATTCCACCCAATTCGTGTGGTGATGTGGGGTGGGCTCATTGTAATGAGCATTACAATATTTGTAAAACGTAAAAACTTTAGCCCGAAAACAAAAATGTGTGTTCCCCTAAGAATTATACGCTTCTGCTGCTGCTGCTGATGCTACTGCTCCTTCACTGCTGCAGAGCGACAACGAAGAAAAAAAGAAAAATGATAATTTTGCTAGGGCAACAACAAGAACAACAAGGAAAACCAACGTCGGGCGACACCTTCGTGGCCCCAAAACAACAGTAAACAGCACTTAAAAGTCAAAGGCAGCGACGGCGACGGCGACAGCGACAGCGACGTCGGCAGAACGAACAAATATGAGAAACGAAACTTAACTCGACTCAAAAGTCCAAGTCAATACGCGCGGTCACTGACAACAAAAGCAACAAACGCAACAAAAGCGACAAAACTGCAAAAGCTACAACAACCACTGGGTGGGAGGCCTTCCAGGGGAAAACAAGCGCCGCCCCTTTATATTGAAAGCATTGGAAATCGTTGATAAGCAACAGCAACAATGCACAGACGTGTTTGGACATGCGCAAGAATTACCGCTATCTTATCGTCGGCCCAGCGTCGCCATTAAACAGTCGGCTGGGTTAGAAGGGTGGCGAGTGGGCTGTGAGTGGGCTGCGAGTGGGCGGGTGTGTCTCGCTAGGTGCGTGTGTTAGGTTGTGTGTGTGTGTGTGTGTGGTTGTCTTCTATTTCTAGGGTGAAAGCCGTT